CCTTCCCTCTTTATTCAACGCGAGGAGTGTTAAAATTGACAAGGGTGGTTAGCGTTCAAGGTAAAAATGTTGTCTGTGGCAAATTTTTGCCCCCTCGCGGCGTTACATCTTGGAAAAGAGATGATGCGAAACAGTTATAAACCGCCCTATCCCTTACAAACAAAACCTTCGTTAAAGTTTGAAAACCTGAAGTGTCCCTGACGGTCTAAACAGCAGAAGCCACGAACACACTGCAATTTCCATCCCCCCGTCACCACCACCAACCCTCACCTACACACCCTTCCCAACATCAAGTACGAATCGATTTCAAGAGAACGAGAGAGGTGAAGCACCAGAACACTAGTTCGTTCTCTTTGGTAAGAAGGGGTTTGTCCTCTCGAAGACACTCAGACAACCTCGTGTGAATCAAGGCAGGAATTCACAAAGCTTTAAACATGAATTTTAAAAAAAACAGTAGCGAAGGATTTCGGGGATAAGTCGAATGTTAAAGGTTTTTCAACATTTGGGAAAACATTGCAACTGCCATCTTCAGGGTGAACATCTTTGGGAGGTTTGGGATCCAATAAAAGCGGGAAGTGAAAGATGTGATTAGAAGAACACAGGGCTGGGGGGTACCACGTGATTCAGGAAGAGGCGTACAAGAATCAACAGCGAAGATTCTTTTTTCAAGGAAAGTAATTTCATCCCATTAACGTGTTAGTGTGATAAAACCCAGAAGGATGGGGTCGGAAGGGCATGGCAGAGACGAGAAATGCGTGCAGAGGAGAAAAATTACAATTTATACAGCTACGAGTTATGCAGTTCTCTCAGTACACCTGTTACTTCCTCTCTCACTTTATTTAACGACACTATTTCAGCTGCAAACACGTTTTGTGCTGTCCTGTAGCAAATTCAGCCTGTAGTAAACTTTGTTTAAAAATTTAGAAAATGCTTTCTGAGATCTGTAGAATCTCTGGCATCACGTGTGATAAACCCCCGGCTAGAATTTTGTAGTCAGTAGCTGGAGACGCAGCGAATGGGACGGGGAAAAAGACTTCTTAGAGCAAGGCCGTCATCGGGTTCGTCTCTGACGACTAGAACGTGTAGAGTTTGTTTTGCCTCACTCAGTACCTCCACGTGTTATTGCGCCCCCTCCGGTCCCCTCTGCCCCCAGTTCTCCCGGTGGACCCACTAGTCTGAATAGCGACTCTGTCTGCACGGGAGTCTGAACATTGTTTAGGATATTTCAGGCTCTGTTCAACGCGGGCCATTCGCATGATCAAGAACAGGTAGGTGGATGGTGGAATTAAATGACAAAAACGAAAGAAAGAAAACTTGGTTGGCCATTCTAATGCAAAAGCACTACGCGTTCGCAAAGGCACGTCACTTCTGACCTAACATCACTTAAGTTCTCTACAGCACCCACTCAGAGGAAGATTCAAAGCCAGAACAATAGAGAGAATGAACGAATGAAAGAAACAAAATCCCATTTGCAGCAAGTGCTCCACTCTGTGAAATGGTCTTATATGTTTCGTGCCACGAATCCTGTACGCGGTTCGGAGCTCATTTGTTAATCCTAGTTGACAATCGTAAGGTCCCAGTCAGCAGACTAATGGAATTTATTCAAGGTGCACGATTGTTGATGATGTTGTCGTCGGTGCTTACCAACGTTTCGGAGGAACGGATTTCTCCATCACCCAGAAGATGGTCTTCATACCATGATCGATATTTTCTTAGTTAAGTTCAATTTAGTTTATTTTGTGCGACTTTTGACTTCGACGACGAAGCTGATGTCGATGGTGGTCTTCTACATCATGACGCCGCTTGGACTTTTAGGCGTGTGTCAGTGTTTCCTAGGAACGTAGGCTGAAGTGCTTAAGACATAGGCAGTCCGTTATACCACCCACAAGTCTAAACGACGTCACAGCCCAGATTACCACCATCGACGTAGTTTGATTTAGACTTAACATCATACGAGATTGGACGCGTAAGATTCGTGCCGCACCGGAAATGCATTGCTGTCGGATAATAATTTAAATTTTACGCCAAGAGAATGTAATTTATCGCTTAATTACGCTACAACTTCTGCAGACTTCATGTGATGCACGCACTCGGCCAGTTAAGTGGTTAAACTAGTTACTCAATCGAATCTCGAGACGTTCGACTGACTTGGAAGCAGATGACAATACATGATCCGCATCGAATCACAGATACGAACTCTGCCTTGGTTCAATTCTTCTGAATGACTGGCCAAGAGACTGATTGGTTAAATGGATTGACTCATTCATGTGTAATATCCGTCTAATGCCGAGTTCAAGAATATGTGGAGCTATATCGCCACTCCCCCCATACGTCTTCAAACGAAAGCTTTGCCTTTTGAAAACACGTAGCGTTGCGTCACTGAACAGGCGAAGTTATTCGGCAGTTGCCTCTTTCTTTGCATTTATTCCGTCTTAAATGTCATGAATTATAAATAGTGTTTTCCTAAACAGATGCGCGGTAACCACTCAGACTTCCCCCGCAAGCCCACGGCTGGGCAGAAGAGCTGAGCGTCCCATTGATTCAGACCACTTCACAATGCTGTGTGATGTTGGCGGTGTCTTTTGGCTCAAAGCGACCACGTTGCAAGTCGCGTCAGTTCGCACTCGTTGCTTCATAACGAAAAGAAAAACCTCCCAGCTAAAACACACACGCTGGTCCCCGAAAGGAACACTTGTTTGTTTGTGTAATTATTCCACCACGGCTATTTGAACGACGAATTGTGATTGGAAACAGGCATTAAACAAGTATTTACCTTCGGCAACGTTTGAATAGTTGTTTTAATATTTAGATTCTACTTCTCATCCTTTACCTTCTGCTACCACTCCTACAGCTTTCTGTATCGTCCTCACCCATTGCTCAATTCAATTCCTGTGCACCAGTATCAAAATTTTATATATAAAGTCTCCACCCTGCTTTTAGGCTTGTAAGTAATTCTGTCTCAGACTGATTCTTTTAAATGTAATTAAAAATTTAAAATAGGGACAAAACTTCGCGGTTGTCTCTCACGTTGCAAAGAAGGCATAAGGATATTATGTGTATTAAAGAGTGGGACGCAACACTGACATACGTAAGAAATAATGATAATATTAATAATAATTATTATAATAACAACAGTTGTACTTGTTCCTGCACCTAGGCAAGAAGACATTATAAGGCGTAAAAGGCTTGTGAAAGCGGAGCTTTACGAATTCTACGTGTACACAACGGTGCAAACATAAAATAAAACAAAGGAAATGCCATGTTTGCTGCCTAGTTTTGAATGACGGGTTTGTTGTAACAAAGAAAACAATGGCCACGATGTGCAACTCAGGCTAATTTGCATTGTGCCACCATCATTTAACAAGAAGGATTAATCTGACAACCGCCGGACACGCTAATTGCTTTATTGCAGATTAGTAATTGCGTAACTGCAGGAAAGGCAGCCCCTTTTTTTGCAATCACTGCAGCAAGTCCGTCAAACATACACAAATGAATAAATAAATACGCACTCACGTAGTTCCCACATAAAGAGGCCTTGGTAGTCAATGAATTCCCCGCTTTTTATGCAACCCGTTCGGTCATTACCCCGTTCAGAGAATTCCGCCACTGGTCCCTGTCCTGAACCAGATGAACCTAGTTCATATCCTTTGTCTTCAATTTAACATCATTATTCCTCATGACGATAACTAACACCTTGGAGAAACATTCGTTTTGTGAACAGTCCCTCAGCTGGTCAAGTGATTCCTCGCCTTTTATGGATGAAAAGTTTCAATGCCATCTTCATAAGGTCCGGTCACTGGAACCTATCTTGACCCATAAAATCCAATCCAACCCCTCAAAAATCCGTTCGCATAATAATGTTTATTGTAGCCTTCCTCGCCACTCACTTAACAGATTGAAACATAAGAGCAGACTTTACTTGTTCCAATGTTGCTCCGAGTTACTTAATAACGTAGTGATATCAGCTGAAGACCTGCCCTCTCTGTGACCGGACCAAAGATCGATCCTTGTAAAATCCACAATGCAGACAGCAAAGTGTAGTTAGTTTGGAATCGACAGACCTGGTCTTCCCCTCTGCAGCTGTGATGTCATTTCTCTCTGTCCCACCGTTTAAGAAAGTAAACACTGGCATCCTTTATTCAAAGGGAAAAGTCACAAATCTGGAAAGGGCACAGTCAGCGTGCTATTGGACAAACCGATGAAAGTGTAAAAAGTGGAGGATTCTAAAGCCGTGCAGATGAAGACAACTTTATGAAATACAACTTGAAAACAGTATAAATTCAAGGAGCATTTTAGTAGCCTGTTATTAATAAAAGGTAAAATTGAATATGACTGTCACCTGGGAAGTTGAGCCGTGTACTCTCGTAGAAGTTCCATTATCAGGAGGACTATGAAGTTAGAACACCCGAGATCAAGATTGTGGTATTGATCTCACACGCATCGCTGTCGGCCAGATCATGGACAAACAAGAGAGAAGGGAGCCTACCAAGTGTGACTTCGCAGTGGAATGTCTTCACAACTGTGGCTATCATATCACAAAATTCAAACAAGAAGGCAGATGACTGACGGATTCTCGTGCCGAGACAGAAACGCAAAGCTGGGGTGTTACAAAATCTTCCTCTCGAGCTGAACTGTCATAAGATTGGTATCGTGTTTATCAAAGGCGCGTTCATGCGACCTTGCAAAAGTCGACCATTCTCTGCATCTCGCTTGAAACAATTAAACACTCTGGAAACTAATCTCCAACTTGCCTGTGCAAAATACGACGCCTAAGTTCAATTTTAAGGACAGTACGGATATTCCTGTACCAAATAACAGCATGAAACGCTTTATTTTCATGAAAATATTAAGCTGTGAAAGCCGTGGGAGGAAATGTAATGAAAAGCGACTGATCCTGATCGACTTAGCAGTCACCACATTGCAAAATTATAGTTAAAAATTAATTAAGTATGAAGTTCGAAGAAGCCGACACCCAGCACCCCAAATTTCTTATCTTACAGGTAAGATTGAGTCGCCGCTACAGGGCACAAGTTGGGGGGCCAACTCTGGTGCTCCTGGAAGGCGCAACAGGGCGCCTCATCACCAGAAACGGTTGTGAGAGGTTGAACGAGGATCCTACTGGCGCCTTGTTTCCTTGGACACCGCGCGCACTCACAGAGGTGCTCAGGGAGGCCGGGTCGTACCTTCCTGGTGGAAAAAGGGCCGCTTCCAAGTTGTCAGCATCCGACAGCGAAGTTAGGTACTCCGAGTTGGACGGTCTAGTCAAAGGAATATATTTCTCGGCGCACTGGGTAAGTATTATCGATTGAACATGTTTGTTTTTCCTTGGTAGACGGTGATAATTTCATAGGGGAATATGTTAAAACACCTAATTATACATACAAGTTGGTTATATTACTGAGGAGGAATTCATGGTGCCTTCCTATGTCATGCCCTTCATGCATATTTAAACGAAGATCGGTCCGCTGGACTACGCGATATTTATAAAGTTTACAAAGACTTGACAACTTAGCAGGGCGTTAATGCAGCATGGCACAAAGGCTAACCTCAATCAATCAGCTGAAGAGACAACACTGTCCCGAATAACAATCTTGGCTATTGATCGGTGGACAGCAACCAATATCACACAGCTTTGTGTTGTTACAGTGTCCGCCCTGCAAAGCATTCACGCCCCAACTCATCGAGACGTACAGCAAAGCGCGGGCGAAAGGGCATAATTTCGAGGTGATTTTCGTCAGCTCTGACAGGTAGGCACATTTTCTAAAGTTAGTTCCCAGGTTCTCTTGAAACGAAGTGAGTGCGAACGATAAATGTGAACATTCTTATCTGAGATTTGAGTGTCCCGCGACGGTCATGATGTCAATGATGGTCTTCTGGGTGGAATCGCCGTCCGGACCTGTACGCAGATACCGACGTTCCGGAGGAACGTATTGGCTCCATTTTTAGGGATTCCGTCGAGGTGTTGGTATCTTTCTACATGTCCACACGGCATTACAACTCTGAAGGCCAAGACGGACATCGTCACCGCCTTGAGAATGTCACATCTCACCAGGTGCATTTCTGAGTATTATTTAATAAAAACGTCTGTAAATTACTCCAGTTGGACCTATAACTGTTTGACGTTTATTCAATTTCTTATATATATCGAACCCATGTAGACCTAACCTGCTTGTTCTACTGGTTCATATTATAACACGATCTCACACATCTTGCAATACTCATTTCCCTTTAAAGGCTGCATGTGACCAGAGCGTAATCGAATAAATTTGTGCAAAGTTTCGTAGCTGTTCCGTAACTGAATATAGAAATTCTTCGTAAGAAAACTGCCACGAATCTAATGTCTACACCCGTCTTTCCACTGAAGTCCTCGCAGACTTTGATTTGAATAACAGAAGTATCTTATTATGTTAGGCAAATTTAATTGAAGTTAGACAGAAAAGGACTGAACAAAGTTTGCATTCCATTTCTCTCCTCATAGTAAGGACCAATGACGAACTCTTGCGAGCACGGTAATGAAAATTCGGGTTCCATAAAAGTCGTAACAATTTTCTGATCAGCTGAGCGACTGTTACCTCTGCAGTTGAGATAGCGTCGTTACGTAAACTTTGGTTATGATGCCGATACCGAAGGCGGAACTCGAAACCCGTTGTTCGGCGTTCTCCCTCCCTCATTCTAAAATAGAGCCCACTTGGACCTCCCCTCCCCCGTAATGTTCCAGTGCTGCACACCCTCAGGGCGACGCACCCTCCAGTCAATAAAGTGCAGTGTGCACACTTCCTGTGTACAGCGCGGAACAGACTACCTTCAGAGGAAACCGACCGGGCGTAGTTAATGTGATGGCAGGTGAAGTGTAAGGAATTGTAAACTGGTTACTTAATTAATATGAATTTGTGATGATGTTCAGACGTTTTGTCCAAAGTTCAAAACAACCGTTATGAAAGC